CCATGGGTTCCAGGCCTGAATTGAGCACTCGGTGTATGGACGGATATATGTGGCTAACAGATGTGAAAACAAAGCCAAGCTCAAACGATCCAGATCGCGTTTAAGCAGTCCAACCTGTTTCATCGCCATGGTTGATGCCCTGGAACAGTTTGTGGATCAACTGAAGTCTGCGCGAATGACTACTCCCAGATCCGTCTCGGATGGAGCATGAGGCAGAGTTTCGTGTCCGAGAGTGTAGGAAAAACGACCATTGTGACGTAGTGATAAGACTTTGCATTTAATAACGTCAAATCGCATGTCATTGGAGACATACCATCTGTGATCTTTATCAAGAGCGTTCTGAAGATCAAATGAATCGTCTGATTGTCCTCCATATTTCGGAATTATCTGCAAATAGTAGAGTTCAAAGCCTGGGGAGGGGGGGTTATATGCACTGCTAATGAGCTCTGAATAGATCAAAACTGATGTCCAGTGCTTTCGGTATGATAGACCAGATGAAGTGAGGATTGTGTGTGAAGATGGATTTGGAAGGGAATTCAGTCGAAATCACTACTTGTTTGGTTAGTTGGCTTACTCCGGCGCTATGAACAATGTACCTATCCATGTATGCTCGTCAATATAAACTTAGTTCCTTATTCTAATCATATGGGGAAGCTGTAGTGAGGCCGGTTTCGACACAATGTCCACCTTCCCAATACCATTCCGCGGCCACAAAACAACTACCACCAGATTCTTATCGACTAATGTTCTTTTGACGCCAGTTGAATACTTTCGGGCTCTCTTTTATCCAGATGCTATTTATATGTGGAACGTGTGATCTTCACGTGCATTTCTTCACCTTGTTGGGATACAAAGAGGATAAAATGAATCGTTTGATACTTACTGATCGGCTAATTATTATTGGAGTTTGGCTGATCATGATGGTTGATGGGTGGGTTGTGTACAAGCAGTGGTGGTACCGCGGAAGATATTGGAGTAAGAAGTAAGTGATTTTTTAACCAACGAGTTGTTAATAGACAACCTTTGAGTGTTCCTTACAACTCGGGCTGATGTGATGAAACCAATATTACCTTACAAAGGCAATCACATCTACGAATGAGGTTGTTCTCGGTTCACTCTCCGAAGCGGTGGAAATCGGAACAGACTGGTGAACTTATATCATGTAGTTAACTGGCAGACTGCAAGACATTTGAACAGTAGTGAGTCTTGGACACATAAGAACTGTACTCAACGATTAGCATTCGAAATGTATTTCAGGGATTTTGTATATTAGACAAAAATCATTATGATGAATCCTACTGTTTGTTCCATTTCTACCTGTTATTTCCGATCCACTTTACCGTAGTCCTCAATTTCCTGCTTCCATCCATCCATCTTTGTAATACTCAGGTCCATAGTTCTTTGATGCATTTCATGAATAAACCTGTATGGAAAGTGTTCCATCGCCACTACTGCCATTTGATCCGCTCATGCACTTATATATGCCCCTTTGGTCACAGACCATAATCAGGCAGCCTTGACTCAATAGCCTAGATATACAAGCACCATGGTACGAGCAGTCGGTCACAGACGCAATCGATCTATGTACCCTGTAGTAATTGTAGTAATAGTAGTATGTATTGATCACGAAATACGAATCACGAATTAACAATCACGGACGCAACGTAAGCATTGGATCACACTAGTATTCACACTCTGTATCCCACGTAACCGAGACGCGAGGAAAAGGCCACAGAAATGGCAGTTGGTTCGGTGAAAGAAATCACGGGGATTGAATAATATGTACAAAACAAATTCATTGGTCATCCAAGCTTCTGCCAATGGCGTGCTATTATTTCTCATGTTCAACTTCTGTCTGGGCTGCACGGTTTCTGATTGGTTGGTACAATAGACCTATGATCTGTAGTTCAGAAGCTGTGACACTTACGCGCATTGCTCACGTCACCTGGGAAGCTAGATGCATTACAGTTGTCCGAAAACTGTACTGTGTCTCTCCGTGGTATGCGTTATCTCGTAGGCCAGGATCATCACAACCCGCTCCACGAATACGTATGTGATCGGAATATGTTACAATGCATCTTTAATCCACTCGAACGAAGGCATGCACATGACAGTCTTCATCGTCCTTGTCACTCCGGTCTTTCTTCATCTCTGATCCACAATGTCTGATTGGGCGTACTAGATCACTATAGCTCCTGATGTCCATATGCTCAAACTTTGCAAAATCACTGTCATTGTCTTGCTTCCCCCTCCTCCTCCTTTCGCTGTCTATCTTCTACCGGATCATTATACAGAGATCTTTCCATGATTTATCCCCGTATTTGAGCTTCGTTGCCGTACATTTTTAAGCGCCCTTTTTGATCTGATATGTTTGATCTTGTTCACCTCAATGCTTATCACTCTAAGGTGAACCTCAGACTTCGTCGAACTAATGCATTCCGTCTAGGGTGCTCTTAGCTGTTTCATTTTTTCCTCAGATACCATGTCCCAATAATGGGCTTGGTTCTGGTTCTGGCTCCTTGTCAGTTTGTCAATTCCCTGAATGTTAAATACAGTTAAACATGTGATGCAAATCTCTGTGATGACTCATAAAGAGCATTGTAGAACAATCAAAGGGATGAAACCAAATACAAAATTATGCGAATTTATTAAGTCATTCTCATCGAACTTCGAACCATTCAGCCAAGGCGTGCGCAGTTCGACTGGCAACCTGAAGGACTTTGGTTCGAGTCCCATCATGGATTCCAAAGTTAAACACTGATGACGAATTCCGGTGATATTTGTCAGTCATCATCAACATTTTTATAGCGTGTCATGTGTTTCTTTTGTCTGCCTACGGTAACTTCGGTCAGTCCAACTCAACCTGCAATATCTTAGTGTTTCTCCACTCAACCCCCCACAATACACACACACACACACTCCTAAAAGTGTATGACCAGTTTCACTTATCCTGTTCTCCTTCTTGTCTTAAGTTATTCTTGTGAAATGAATTGGAAATCACAGAATAGATTACATATCCAGATTACTCATTATTTTGCTGTTTCGTCTTCAGGCACCGAGTACCCTTTACTACACTACTCCAAGATGCTGCACGAAGTCGAACTTGAGTGATGGTCATTAATAGGTGGTTGGAAAATTTCCAGAATAGATAGGCATTATCAAACAAGCAACATTTATTTTCTTGGTTTTGAAAAAATTTTTTACT